CAAGAATCTCGTCCTTACATCGTGTAGTCTTAGAACAACGGTCGTCAATAATTTATAGGTACATATTTAACAAACGATATACATAGTAGTTGTATCTAACGATAGTAGTCAATACTCGGATAATTTTCTCCCTTATTATTTTTTCTGCTCGTTATTTTTCTCATTTTAAATAGCACTATCGCTATACAGTACATTCGTTTACTATAATTATCGTTATAATGTAACCATATCCTTACTCATCCTTAGCCTACGTCACTAATATTTCTCAAGTATGGAATTGTTAAGCTACCTTTTATTAAGTTACGCATTAAAACGTGTCAAGTGGTCAAAGATCGGGACGCGGGTGTCGATATAAATGAGTCTCGGACAGTCAACTCATAATGAAGTGATAAGAAGAGAAATTCTGGCAGTTCTGGAAGTGACAAATTACTTTTCTCCCTTTCAATCGTTCCACGTTAGCCGATCGCTTGACTCGAATGGAATTTTTCTTCTTTGTCGCTCCCAGAATATCATAAATGACTGAACATTTTGGTACGTCGTGTCGAGTTTTCGCGAGTCGATGAGATAATCGAAAAGAGCAGATTTCACGATGACTGATTGTTTGGTTGTTTTTCAACGTTTATTGTCATTATACGATTTAGGCTTGTCGCGCGTTTACTTGGCACTGTAACATACGAAGTAGGAGATACAAATGAAGAATGTAGGTTGAATTTATCGAGAATCGATGTATCTGTTTCATGGTATTACGAAAAATTGTATCGTTTTTAAGTCAAACGATGTACTACGTTTAGACTGTGGATCTTTATGCAATTTTCTATTTTTATTAACATAAAAAAAATGTAACCTACTTACATAAAGTTATTATTTCACCTGTGAAATATCGCAACAAGTAGTTTTTCGCTTCGAATATCTTTTTCCTTTTCGCGTGGTACATGCATTTTGTACATTTTCCTAATTTCACATTTTTGCTGAATGCACAAAAATCCGCGATCCAACTGTAATATATCGTTACGCTGAAAATACGTGTACAATATGCTTTAAGTTCGATTTCTCCGTATCTTCTTAAATTTATTACATATTCCGTTTACTTAACGATGGTTACGGTACATGTAACGAGCTTCGATTGATTTTAATTAATTCCTCGGCATTTTGCGCAATGCTTTTTTTTTTTTTTACTTAGAAGTTTCCAAGCCTTCAAGAAAAACGTTCAAGAAACTTTTTGCAAATCAACCCTTTCCTATCATCGCCGAATCTTTGCTTTTTGTCGGTTCCAATTTTATAACACATAGAAAAAGACGTTAAAAAAATACCAGCGTCTTGGCGAAAGAACAAGGTATTAAAAGGTGAAGGTAATTTGTTAACGTCGAATTTTGTTTTGTATCTTTTTTCAGAGATTCTTGACGAACAAAGGTCGCACGAGTATCTTCCGAATTTCAGTAAACAAATATACACGAAATTCACGAAGATTCGATACTAAAATCCATTCGTGTTTCAGGTAACACCCGCATAGCGATCGCTCTCAGAATATATGCAGTTTTATTTAAATATCGATCAAGATACGGGCAAACAAGCACGCTCCTGTTTCTTCCCTTCTTCCATTTAATTCTGTATAAATTGTGCATCGAGGAACGATTTGAATCCGCGTTGTTTTTGCTTGTTTCGTCGGCAAAACGCCACTCTTTACCGCTGGGAAAAACGTTGAGTACAGTTCCAGGCGAAGGCCACGATGACCAATGACTCCACTTAGCAAGTTATCGTCTGCAGCATTGCGATTTTATCCTAAGGTTAATATAGTTAGACGAGACCCGTTAACGTTTATATATATATATGTATTTGTTGAGTGAATGAAAATATTATAAACGTGAATTATCGTTATCGAATGAACTAAAGTAGAGAAGTTATCGCGAGGAATACAATTACACGCTTGAACAAACTGCTGTGGTCTAGAATCTCCATCGACGAGAAGAATGCATTCTCTTTTATCTTTCGCTTAAGATCGAGCAATTGTGTATAAAAACTTGAAAATATTACATCCGTAACGATTAGTTGAACATCGATTGAAATTTCACACGCGAACACAGAAATCGTTTACATTCTTATGAAATATTAATATTATGACACAATCTTACGACAAAACACGATCGTATAGCATACGCCATGGAAAGAACAGACAGAAACAGCACGGAACTTACACTCACACTTAGCTTAACGAAGCAACGGAGAAAAACGAAATTACGTCGACTCGTTCGTTGTCATTGATCAAACAAAATGACGTTTAATGAATCTCAACTACCGACCATCTTCGCGTTACAACGATTTTTAAACAGCGTCGTGGGACCCTTTCGTGCAACGCGTGATCCCAGTTTTTTGCAATAGTAAAAAAACCTCAATCGCTTTATAATATCTGGCTTACGTTATCTTTAGCTATGTACATATTATTTACACACCTTAGACTTAATATATATATATATATATATTTATATATAATATCTGTTCTATGCCGCTAATTACTATCTAAATACCGCGCTCTGGTTCTCGCTTTCAAGAACTTTTAGCTTTCCCCTTCGTGGCTCTTGGACAATTACCTCGACCGCTCTGCTTCATCGTCAACAACAACTAAACAACTACAGCGACAGGTTAACAACTGTTAAAATATCAATGTAACAATAGCCGATCATCGTTGGAATAATCTACTATTGTCAAAGTGAGACTTTAAGACTCGTAGCTTTGCGGGGCCGAGCTTGCGATCCGGTACAACTGCTTCGACGCACTAATGCGTAATTACAATGTTAACATGTAAATAAGTAACTGACTCTATCATAGAAAATGTGTGCGTTCTTTCCTATCGTTTTAGTGCAAAGTAAACCTCTTGCAAGTCTCGTTCGTTCCTCTAAGGGAGAATCGTGGCCTCTGGAACATCGCGGCCGAAACGTCGACGTTGCGACTTCCCGTTCGTTCTAACATTCGTTCGGCGTTCACTGGACGATTTTTCAATCAGGTAGCAAATACTTTTACTTGTCTTCCGACACTACGTGTTCCGAGATCGGTTCTCCATCAATCAGAAACCATTCGTTTATCGTTTACATCCGTTTGTTCTCCGACATTGAAATTTTTACGCGTTGGTCAATGTTGAACTTGATGCCCCACTTTTTGTTAATTTTTATTTAATTTTGCACGAGGCTAGGTCGATAAATAACGCATGCTCGCGTGTAACTGGAGAACGAAAGCAGCGGAAACAGCTACGTTCAGTTTGTAGCTACATAGCTTCCTCTGTGTTTACGACGAGCTTGAACGCTCGTTCAACGTTGAATGCAATGTCAACGAGATTCGAGCAGCGTGCAGTAATTGAATTTTTAACGGTGGAAAACGTTACGACTAGGGAAATACATCGGATTTCGTTCGTTTGAAGCGCGACGATGAAGTCAAGGCAGCTGCGAGTCCTTTTATCGAAAGCAGAATCCTTCGCTAACGGAATGAAAAATCTTGCGATTATATGGAAAAATAGGTACGTTAGTTCGTAGCCAATAAATTGCTTTTTAGTTTCTTTCTTGTTTCGTTCGCTGCCTTCATCCTCGCGGTACAGTGACGAGTATTGATTCGTTATCAGCCTAGTCTCGTACATACGTGTTTTACAAGTAGCTACCGATTGAGGAGGAACCGCGGAGCTTATCAATACGACGACTCAAAAACGTCTTTCACACTAACAACGCTTTCTAATGGCAGTATTTACGGAACCAATACTTCTCATCCTACAAATGTATTTACAATGCAACGTGACGTAAGGCATCGTACCTTGGATGCGTTAAAATTATTACTCTCAGCTACGAATATGATCTAAGAAACGTCGAAGAATTAGGGATTCGCCGAGTCGAGTCGCAAAATGTCCGGATAAGGCTTTTTCCTTCTATCGCGAAAAAGTAGTCGTGAGTTTAACGAAGCTAGAAATGAACGATTATCGTTGAGCATTGGTAATTCGTGAATTTTGCCAAGGAATCGCAGATTCTCCGACGTTATGTTACAATTCTCGCGAATATCAGTCCGCTCGCACGAGGCGCAACTAACGATCATTTAACTGCGACAGTACATATTTGTATATAGCGCATAATTATCTAATGAAAATGTAAGTGAAAGAAACGGATGAACACGAAACGGAATAAAAAGGAACGAAGACAACTCACAGTGACATCAACCACGTACTACAGCATTGAACAACGACATCAACGGTTGTTCAATGAGCTACATCTATCAGCTTTAGAATTCGTATGCTTTACTTGTTCTTACAGAACTATTGGTTATTATTATCGTAATGTCTCGCGGTTTTCGACTCTTGTTACAAAATACAATATTTTTACAGAGGCGAAGTATAACATGTGTGCAACGAAATGTCCCTCGAGATGGTATGCATCGAACGACGAATGGGAATTGTTAAGTTATATTTCGTGCTAATTACCGATATATCGACAATGAACACATTGTATGATACGCTAAATATTCTAAAGAAAACAAACGGAAATATTTTATGTCCACTACGTTTTCCTATTTTCCATTTTGCGTGAAATTATGCAAGTTTCAAGAATTGTTTAGTTTCGCAAATACTTACCTTGCTTAGATGTGTAAAATTTCTAACTATTTCAAATTGATCGAAGGAAACGTAGCGGACTTTATTAAAAAAGCAATTGGATTCCTATTAGATGCGAAGTGTATATTACATAATTAACATGATTAATACACGATACGTGATTAACATTACAAATAAAGTTTAATTTGGCTTCAATTTAACGTGTAGATAATAGATGAGATATACTCTTTTAAGTTCTCACTTTAAATTGCTTCCTATGCGTTTGCAAAAATGCAATAAAAATGCAAAACGAATTATCGTTATAGGTAGATCTATACATAATGAATGAAATATAGTCTTTTAATTTTTCGTTACAAATCGCTTCCTGCCATTAAAAATGCGAAATTAAGGAATAAATGGAAAATACGTTTGCGCGATTTTCGAAAAACGTTCGAAGGATAAAATATCGAGTAACAATCTCAAGTGACATTTGGATGCACATACATTGAAATCAATGCTTTCCTCTGCTCCGTTTCCCTTATAGATACATTCGTACAAACGGGTACGTCCCTAAATGTTTACAACTAATCGGTTATACGTAATGTTACACGCTAAATTCGTGTCGTACAACGAGCTACCTACGATCGTGATACCTAGAATAATTTCTCTTAACATGTCGGGTAAACGGGATATATAAAACACGCGACAGTTTACTCGTGAATGTTCGTAACCCCTAGTCCGGGACCAATCGTATTCACCGTGAACAACGTTCCAACATTCTGTTTGTTCGTTCGATCTACTCGAGCATCCCGGTAGTTCGATCAGAGCCGCCATGGGCTTAGCTAGATTATTATTACAATGTACCGTTAATTAGCTTGTTGCTTTAAGATAACCCGATTTTAAATAGTGGCAGCTTCATATTACGATTTACTTGAGCAGACTATGTAGATATAAGTTCCTTTCCAAAATTGTTCGCAACGTATCGACGAGTCGATCGTTTCTTTTATTCACAACGGCAATACTCGAACGAAGCTAGGAAATAAATCAAGGTTCATAGACGGTCGATGATCGCGTCGCAGTCGTTCGTTTGTTTAGGTTCGTAACGATCGAAACAAGGAAAGTCACAGGGAATAGATTTTCTCCACGATGCTTCTGGCAAATATATTTTCTCAACTTAAAGCGTTAACATTCCAAAGTATTCTCTCCTTGACGACGCATCGTTTCCAACGTATCGGTCCGTGTAGCAATTTGCATTATTATTATTATTATTATTATTTTAGGAACAACGTCAGATTTCACGACGATACCGGGAGGTGGCAGAGGGTATATAGAAAGATAATCTCATATAGTATTTCCTTCAACTTTCGTCCTTTCATTTCTTTGTTCTCCCTTTGTGAAACTTGGTGCTTGTCGTATACTTTGCAATTGCTTTGGGGAATGGAGCCCTTTTACCGTAATTTCGTTATTGAACAGCGGTGGAATCTGGAAGTTCCTAAGACTAGGGTGGGATTCCGGGTTGGTAGTAAATTACATCCGGGTGTTGGTCCTTAGTCTTTCTCTACGGTGCAGGGCTCGAGCATGGACTATTGCGGCGGACAGTTTACTACCGTCGTGGTTGCGAATTCGCTGAATTTTTTATCAATTGGTACTCGGTCGTCGTAGAGGGTGGGAGCCTGCAGGATGATGCCAGCTGTGCCAACCAGCACCGCCAAAGTGAAGATCCAAAGAAACAGTCTGTCCAAGACCATCGCCACGTATTTCCAGTCTTCTTTCACCTTTTTACAAATTATTCGTATTAGATTCTACAGTAAAGCGTACTAATGGTTATTTACGCGAAGATTAGTTCTGCTTCTCTTTAAAATCAAGAGAACCAATTGTAGCATCTTCGATTTATATAGTAACTTTCTTGCCTTTTCCATTTTCATTCGAGCAAAGACTTTCAATGTCATCGTAGTGACGTAAACTACACGAACGAATAATATACACATACATATCAAATTGAAGAGATTATAGCCTTTTATGTTAAAGCTTAATACGCGGATATTAGAACGAAGTGAAAACATGTTTCAATGAATTACAAACTTCGTTTATTTTTCCAAAAATATACGCGTACGTTACTATATACTCGTCGTATAGAATCAAAGCACGAGACACAAAATATTTAGACATAACAGTGTACGAAATTTATTAAAAGAAGCTTTTAGAAAGGTCACATTAAGAGTAAAATTACCTTAGTCGAGTCTTCGAGCATCTTGGTGTGCTCTGCGATAAAACGCACACAGATGCAGGATTTGTGAATTTCGGGAGGACAACGCGAATGCGAGAAGGCTGGTGGACTTCGTAGTACCGGACTTTTCACCTCTTCGATTCCTGCTTCGCCAGAAACAGAGAGATCCTCGCATTCTGTATGAAGAGGAAGCGGTGGTAACGGTGGCCCGTGGATTAAGCAACTTCCACCGAACCTTGCACCGTCAGCAAGGCTAAATTGCGAACAAGACAATGTAACTTGATTACAACATTTCCTTCTACCATAATAACCGGTGTATATAAATTACTTGCTCTACCCTATCGTAATTTAAAATCATTCTGTAATTTCAGGATGTGTATCTCGTTAAGAAATCATTTATATTCACTACTTGATTGTTCTCAAAATAGATATTTATGTTTCTCATATATCGCCCTGTGTCTCGCTATGACGAGCATGTACATAAGATCGTAGTTAAACTTAATTTAATTTGGGTTGTGATCATTAGTTGAAGTAAATGTCTTTTTGAATTATATCTTGCTGACAAAGATGTGAAAATAAAGTTGTTCGCAGTGCGATCGATCAAACTTACCGTAGTATTTAATTTTCAAAATTTTTAATTTAATTAAAAATGTGAAATACGATCATCGTATTTGAATATTATCGTTTTTTCAGATCGCGTCATTTTCGCTACGCTTTAGAAACGTGATCGAGACTTGAGCATCTTGATACATTGAAAAAGATGGAAAGTGTTTAAATGTCAAATATATTTGCACCGAATTAGGTTTTATAGCTAACAGTCTGTCTGCTTGTATTATCTTTGTACATAGTAATTTGGCCCATTAGAAATTATACAGACTTTGAATTTTTATAAAGATATAAAAACGTTCTTGTATACTCTTATTAAAGTCTGATTTATAATCATATTTCGTTACCATTAAGAGGCTGCGAACTGTGATTTACATTTGAATCGAAAGAAGAATTTTATTAATTTTGTTTAGAGATCATAAAGAAATTCACTATGATTGAAATTAACGTAGATCGTGTAGTTCTGAATTCTGTGACCATATTTTTGTTGATGCTTCAAGTTCCTTGTTACGCCCCTAGGCTTACTACAGGTTGTGTCCCTAACCGTCTCCCTTGGTACTACAATATCGCAGACAGATCGTCTTACATGACCAGAGAGATATACACAATGTAGCGATAAGCGCATAGTTGTTGTCAAGCAGGGAGTTCTAAAAAACATCGATTCGCCTTCGTCCGTTATTTTACCTACACAAAAACGATGGCATACGTGACCATAGGCACGAACGGTTGCGAGACCCGAGCGTGGTGGGGGTCATCTCCCAGAGAAGACAAAGGACAAAAGCGAAGGGCAGTCAGTGGCAAATGAGGATTCAAACCGAATGCGTCGAGAGGTTCAGAGGAATAAAATCGAGGTAAGTTAGTCAAACGAATACATCGAGAAATATCATAAAGTCGAGTCGAATTATAATAATAAACTAGTTGTATCATCGTTGAATCATTTGTAACGTGTTAATTATAATTTTAAATATTGTTAAAAATAGAAGCTTATATTAACCCTGTTAATTCGCTGTTGCAATCATTTGAACTACCTCTGTTATCCTAATCGAAACAGGGGAACGATCGGTTCGCGGCGTCGACTATCAGAATCGTAGCGAAAATTTATGCCTCTCGCTGACGCGTTTCCTCGCGATCGCGTCTCTCCGCGAACGGTCGTAACATTCCTAATGTAGTCTAATTCTGTTGCCATTGTCGTTCTGTGCTATGTCTCATTAGATTATCGATATATGGGCGGAATTATCTTCGCTAGAAACTCAATTTAATGCCTTACTCGGGTTACAGAAGTTTCTTTATGGCACTCCAACTCTGTGTAAACTGGACTTTGCAGTAAAGTCGTGCAATCTTGTTACTTAATCTCGTAATAGAATAAAAGCGTAACGCATAATCGCGTCAATTATTTCATTAATTACTTGTTAAGCAACTCTTGATACATGGTCGCGCGAATTATTCACGGTTAATTAAGCTTGAGAAGAAATTTACGTTAAACGAATGCCAGCTACAACGCCTTTCCAGAGTAAGTTAAGCTGTGCTTTATGAGAATACGAGCACTTTTGGCTGAATATATGGTTTAGTTACTTTTCGAAACTTCAACCGCGAAACTAAACGTAGAAACCTTCTGTGAATACGAAGAAAATAGTTCAGTGACATTTGCTTAAACGCTTTGTGCAATAAGTTTGAAAAATAAAAAAATAAAGACAATTGTTATAATATTCGGAATAATGAAATTACGGGAAAAACGTTATTACATTACGAATCAAATATTACCATTTTCTCCGCAACAAAAGGATAATACGACAATATGATCGAATCGGTAGCCACAAATTGATGTTAACAGATCATAACAGAAATGTAAATACCGAAACAAAGGAGAGCAGTTCGAAATTTGAAAAAGACGCACAAAAGGCGGAAAATCCACATTGTGGTTTTATCAACTATGGAATGGAAAACTTTTGAAAATTTCCGAGTATTTGGTCAAAAGTTCAGTGAGTGAAAAGAAACAAAACAGATAAACAATCACGGGCAGAATAGAATTTTAAATGAACGGCGAAAAAAACAAGAATCGTTTAATGAGATAAAAATAATCCGCAAATCACTGTACTAAAAATCAGATTACCTTTAGGTGTACCATAAATATTAGAGACTATGTTAGTTACACACACAACCATACAATTAGATTTAAAAGAAGATTCTCTGACAAATTAATAATTATGGTAAAAATGCTTATTACGTCGCCCATTTTATCGAAGCGTTTATTCTTCTTACAAAATATATACATTTATTTCCATTATTTTCCCTGTAACTGTATATATTCGTATAATATGCCTTTTCATTTCTTGGAATCACTAAAATTCTGATAAAAAAATCACTAAATGTTTGACTTTTGAACTTGTAATTATACAAGTTTGTAAATATGGTAATAAAAAAATAATAAGGTAATATAGTATAAACAATAAGATAATGTCTAAGAATGATTTATATTGACAGAAAATACCTGGAAGGTGAGAGGTCTTCCTTCGATGCAGCACGCATGCGGCTGTGAAATCGTTTGGGTGTTAGATGTTCTTCGCTGTCCTCCTGAGTAGATGGATGATAAGGATAATAGAAGGGCTTTTCCTTCCCTCCGACTGTTTTCATTAGCACTCTGCCAGAACTATATCTGCGAATACATATAATTTTGTGCATACAGTAAAATTTATTTGTCAACAAACTGTCGTTTCTTTCATCTATGAAATCTGTTATTTATTTAAAAAAACAGCAATAGTATATAATATACATATATTTTTCCCTGTAGAAACCACGTTACATATGTTGTTATTGGTCGTGAAAAGATGAGAGCCATTTTTATCGAAGTACGTATCGGGAAAGTTTATTCGTTAAACTTTCTACGAACATAACAATTTTTCAGACAATAAATGGTAAAAAAAATGAAGGATCAAGGAAACAGATTTTAAAATAAATACTAAAATAGAGGAGGCCGAAGACTTTTGTTACTATTTTAATTAACATCTCTTTTTAATTGGTAGGTTTAAAAAATTTTAGAAAATTAAAAAAATGTATTGTAACGGAGGAAGCAACGTATTTCTATCAAGAAAAATTTATATGAAAAAAGAGCATTATCGTTTCAATATAAATATCTGTTTTCTTGTGTTAACTAGAATAGACTAGCAAATTATTAGATCTCTTTGAAAATAAATGAACGCTTTTGAAAACGGTTTATTTATAATTTATGACTTTATCGAAAATTCTATTGATTTTATCGAATATTTCTAAATTAAAATCATTTTTACTAACTTTCTTTTGCCTCTTCTTTTCTCCTTTGATAAGCTAAGGGCATTTTTAATATGTCAAAACGTCTTCGAGTGGGAGAGCAGTTGGTTCAATTCGATTTCTAACAATGTAACTCTTTTGGTTTAAATAGAAATGCACAATAATAAACGTTTACCTATTTGTTTCGAATTTATATTGGGGCCTCCGCATAACCAGTAGGCGAGGAAGGATGTGGATAAAAACCCTCTTCACCCATGGCGCCATTTTGTGAGTTTGCGGCGATCGAAAGTGAACATTAAGCACAACCACTGTCACGCATATGCTGTAAAATAAACAAAGAAACGATGAATTTGGTACAACAATTTTGTCAACTATAAATTAATAAAATTAGGTTTGCATCACGTCGTTACATTTAAACACAAGTTACGAATTAATTAAAATCTTTAAAGCAAGTATTGTCTGTTTCATCGTTCCTATTTTCATTTCAAGTGCTCTGATGAAGCTTTTATTCTCACGAAAATTTTAATAGATGCCGAGAAACGAATAATTGCAGCTTTTGAACGATGACACGGTGGACACTGCTTCGCGTGTGTTTACGCATCTTCAAGCTGTTAATGACGTACATGTACGTCCTATAACGATGATAGACTCTTTGGAAAGTTTTGCGACACGTTCGTTAAGCATAAAGTCAATAATTTCCTTCGGTTCAGTATTGTTCATCGCGTCGATGACGTCCTCATTTATTTCCATCGCGGGTATTTTCATTAAGCAAACTTCCTTTTAATTAAACGATTTATCCATTTTCTCGTATATTTTCCCCTATAATCTCGGCTGCGTTTAACTCACAAGAAATGCATTACGTGAAAGTTTCGTTTTCATAGATTAAAAAGGTAATTAAAAATTGTTTCATGAATATGTATATTATACGAAAAGAATGCGTTTTAAAGAGAGCGCGTTATTTTATCAAACAAATTTTTATTCGCGACTCAATTTTATTCTAAATAGTCTTCATTCCCCTGAAATTTTTTTCCAAATTATAGAATAAACTATCGCGTTTATTCAAAGAAAAATAAAATAGCACATATAAACGATTATAAACAAATAAGCTTCTACGATTTTCTACGAAAATCTTCGAATACTCTATAAAAGCTCCGTTTTCATTGGAATAAATTGTATTTTTACGTAGCAATATATTTATTTATTAACGTATGGGCTAATGGTAACTATTTCATGGCGAAATTACTGTTATCGCATGTGATTTTGTTTTATCGTTTGAAACTATAGATTATGTTAATATTTCGATTTGATGGATCCTGCAGATCTTATCTTTTTGTTCTCTTCCACGCAATATTTTTCGGTTGTATTACTGGCAAGCCATTGTCAGATTTCCTAAATTATTCTTATTGATACTCGTAATTTTGTATCTGATAATCTCTAATTAAATTAATAATTATTTAATAATTGAAAATCTCAATCAGTGGTTTGTACAATTTTTATATTTAATTATATATAATAATAACATATGTGTTTTTATTTCTTCTTTCATTTTCATTGATTGTCCTTGACATTAATTCGATGATTGCATGCATGAAAGTAGAAAATCCAAGACTCATTTATTGGATGCATATTGTACGTAATACAAACTCCAACAGTGAAAAAGAAATTAAATATTATACTTTCACTCGTTCTTTTTAAAAATAATACAATTTTATATTCAGCTTGACCTGGTTGGGTAGTTGAACGTGAATTGATTGTGAAAGCCAGGTTAATCGAAATCTATTTTTGCAGCCAGAAATTTGTTAAGATATTGTATCTTCCAACATGTCTGAGGTAAGGATAGCAGACAGGTAAATATGTAAGCAATTTTTAAATGGATTTGATGCAGCGAAGAGGCGGATTTACACTGGCTATAGATCTTATCTTGTTATGGACAAATTTACAAAAGAGAACTTTAGCGTTATCATAATTGTGTGATCATGAAAATAATTTAAATCAATTAAATTAAATTAAAAAATAAATTTAAAAAGACAGCTTAACTACGTTGGAATGTACACACGTATGAAACCAGAAACGCTTATTTGTCAAATTCGTTAATTCCACGAAACAAGAAGCAGAATTAACGAAATTGTATATGTATAATATAACCTTCGATCAACAAGTACTTTGGTATTAAAATTTCAAAAAGTTCAAAAAGCCGAGTCAATCGCATTGGCCCGTGAGCGGTTCAAACAACTCGTAACATGCCTGTGTAACAGCCATACTTCACATTTCTATGCCTTTTTTTATCTTCACGAACGTAACTGAAGAAGCGGAATCAAAATAGAAATTTGTTTCATCTACCAGGTATTATTGTAGTATCGTGGACGAAAGGCCTAAGAGAAACCGGGCGAATCATAAACAATGTCGCGAGAAAGCCTAATCAGACCCATCAATGTACTATCGGTCCTTCAATCGAATAGTTGCGCGAAAAAATGGTCTACGTGACTTTGGCCACGAACGGTTGCGGTGAGTGGTGGGGCTAAGAGAAAAGACAAGGGTTGCTAAGGGACAAAGACGAATTAACAGTCAGTGTTAGTTGAGAAGTCAGAGAGTGCGAATTGCGTTGTCGAGAGAGTGTGGTCCGCGTGAGAGAGAGAGAGGGGGGGAGAGAGAGAGAGCGTTGGAATCGTGGTGAGACGAGAGTTGCGAGTTAACTATTGAGTTGTCTAGATTATAGCACGTTATTGTGATTAGTTCACGTTAAATAACCATCGTTCTTCTGTTTAATCAACACCTGTTTAATCCATTTTAAATAAACTAATTGTAGTAAGATCGTACATCATAAATAATAATTTTAGATATTTTGTTTTGTAATTTAATTATACCGTACACTGTATGCATTGTGTGCACTTTTGCACCCTCAAATTTCCCACAAGTGCACAAAAATCCGTAGTCCGATTCCAACGCCCTTCGCTTATTCCGACATGTTAAATTGTGAAGTAACTGATAGACGTGTACAATAAAACTTGTCATGTGATATTCTCGTCGATATCCACGACCAATCGTTACCAATATCTATCATCGATTATTACCAAGGAAGGGAAGGAAAAGAAAGGAAACCTTTACAGAGAGACGAGGCAAATTGCCATAACATATAAGCAGGAGTGGGTGCGGTGGAACGACAGAATGTAAATCTCACGAGGCCATTTATAATGGAGATCCATTCAGCGATGGCTGGCCTTAGCAGCCGGCACTAAGGAACAAACTGCGATTTAAATTGGACCAGCCTCCTTTGACTCGACTTGCAGCCATTTATCGGCTCCGAACTCGCCTTTCCACGTTTACCTTCGAGTGCCTACGCCTTTTTCCTCCCCTTTTGTGTTCGCCATTTGTCTTCCTTTTGGAAATCGTATTAATCGGCCGGAAGTGAATTAAGACATCCGTGTTTCGCGTACAGATCGCCATGATTATGAAGCGCCATGGCGCATCGCGTTGTGTCGTACGACAACGAGGCTTTCTTTCTTAGTATTCTGTCAATTTCTGTGACGTAGAATTTACAAATCATCTTAGTATCAGTGATCTCTGGAATTTGCGTGTAAAGCAAGTTATGTAATTAGTTTATTATAACAAGTTGTGATAAATTGGTATAGTAATTTTTGAGGTTAGTAGCGAAAACTAGAAAAAAACAAATAAATCAGTGGACAGAAAAAAGTGTGAAAAGAAGAATATATCCCGGTAATGTCTCTCTTGTCTTGTGTGATTTCACTTTACCGCTTAACAAAATGCTACAAAATAATTGTGTAAAATACTCAATATCTGGTATTTTTATGTATTTTATACGAGTGTTTCCGAAATGGTGGTACAAAAAGTGAGGTGGTGATTCTACATGTGAAAATAAGCGGAAAATAGGTTTGAAGTTGAAGTTGAAGAAAATAGGTTGGTAAGTAATTATTTTATAAAGTATAAGAAATGTGTTTGAAATCCTATCAGACGCCCGTCTATTAACTGCAAGTTTCGAATTATGAAACTTCTGTTTTTGATTATTTTCGTCAATCATACTGAGACATTTAATTTACACACGATAAATTTACGATCACGTATATAATTGAATTTTTAGAATACATTTTTGTGTCGACTGACGTTTATGTCATAAATGACATTTTGTATTAAAATACGTCATATACTTTATAATTGCGAAAAATGGAAACACAGAATTTTTTATCTGAAACGAGTGAAAAAAGCAAATGGCCGAGTATTGCGAAATAATTTCAGAGACGCGGATTTCTTATACAGTTTCTGCGTCTTCCCTATGAAATTCTTTACTTCCGTACCATTCCAATTATACAGAAACAGGAAAATTATTTCGAATAAAAGTTGTAACGTCGTTCTTAAAAATTCCATGGAAGAATCTATTTATGCCAAGAAAGGTGCTTTCATCTTCAAATGAAATAGCTTTGTAAATCAAGTTACCCCTCGCACATTCCATCATCTACATCTTAAGCGCGTTATTTTAAATAACCTTTCAATCTTAATAATTCGATAATTTTCCACTGAAAAAATTGTTTTCCGTGATCTCTTAATTTCTCAATCTTTTATCGCTTAATTTCGGCTTCACAGTCCGCAGATGGACTTGATCTTACAATGTCTTCTGAAACTCACACACATATCCAATAATCTTCTAGTCATGCAATGTATGTATATGTATAATTGTACATGTATAATATAATAATGTATAATTATAATATTTATAATATGTGTAATAAAAATACGCATAACTGCTGTATATTATTCACATCTATATAATTAATTATATTATATATAATTACATGTACTTAAATATAATAATTGCATGTACTTAAAAATTCATTCGTCGTTTCCTTTTGTTTAGAAATATCTAAACTCCGTGTCATGTCATAATCATAATCTCCACGAGATGATAATAATTGAGAAGAATAGATCAGTTATTTCAACGCTTAAGAGAAGTATTCGATAGGAGCACAGTGCGGTCCATCTTAGCTTTAATGGCGCACAATGCCTCTGCGTTTCTTGGAAAAAGCAATAATGGTGTGGTTTAAGGCACGAAGGAGCCGGCCATCCCCTTGAAATTCAACGGAGAAAAGGGGTCGGTTTCTTGGTTGGCCTCCGCCTTGGCTGGAAGCAAGTGCCGGTCGATGCTGCTGCTGATTAATGTGTCACACCTACCGCATCTTTCCATTCTTCCAATGTATTGAAAGGGTTAATATACTATCACCAGAATATATTTATCGTTGACGTATACGACGTACACGTAAATCCACTTTATCAGTTCGTCTTTGTTTCTAGTTGTTCCTAATTTTTGTCATT